ATGTAGCACGAAGAGTTACTGTTCTATAACGAAGGGGTGGCTTGGTGTTAAGGGCAATTACGGAAGGACCTTGATCCTCATGCTCAGCTGCCCTCGCAACGGGATGTTCCTTCCAAATGTTCTACTTGTTTACTGTAGAGGTGTGATGCCATCAGTCTGTTTTAAATAACATTATCTGCTGGACTTTGACATTTGCCTCTTAAAGGTTTGAGTCACCCCATCCCTTCCCATTTATTAAGTATATATAGAATGAGTGAATAAAGTTTTAACCACAGTCACATTTAGCTACAACGAATTTAGGAACTTGATAGGGTGGAATGTAAATTTCAATTTTACGTGGAAAATGTGCTTGGAGGTAGATGACTATTCCAGCTTTAAAACAAATCTTGAAAAGTTTTCTCTTAGTTTTTCTTCCTCCCACCACCTCAGGAAAATAGGAATTAAATGTAGATTATAAAGATGGAATGGACCCTTAGAATTTATATAATTTAGTTTAATTTATGGCATGTCTGTTGTGGGACAGAAATTTCTAGATACTGAGAGTAACTCTGAGAACAAAATAGACAAATTCCTTTAGAAGTTTTCATTTTAGTGGAGGGATGTTAATATTGAAAATATTATATAATGGGGTACCTGGGTAACTCAGTCGGGTAAACATCTGACTCTTGATTTCAGTTCTGGTCATGATCTCTGGGTTGAGGGATGGAGCTCTGCACTCAGTACAGAGTCTGTCCCTCTGCCTCTGCTCCTCCCCTTGCTTGTGCTCCCTCTCTCTCAGATAGATAAATAAAATCTTTAAAAAAATAAAATATTATACAATATATTAGTAGAAGATACATTATTGAAGAAAAATAAAGTGGAGGAAGAAGAGGAGATTCGGAAGTGGTTGTTTGCAATTTAAATAGGTTGATCAAAGAAGGTAACAGCTGAGTAGATTTGAAAAGTGATTTAGTTACTTACACTAAATCTTACTAATCTAAGTATCTAATTATTAATATGATAGTCCATCATTTTTACAACTGTGGTAACTAAGAATCAGAGAACATAATAACAAAATTACAAAACACCTTAGTGACAGGGTAGAGAAAGAAACTTGGTCTCTTGCTGAAAATAAAGGTTGTTTTCTGTTCTATTACACCAGGGCTTGGGAACAGTCTTTTTTTCTAGTGAGAGTATGTAAATGAAATTCAAGTGTCAATTCCTCAGTGCCCTAAATCTTCCAGCCTTCTCAGATTACCCTTCTTTTTATATTAGGAAGGAAAGAAGGAAGGAGGGAGGAAGGAAGGAGAAAGGAAGAAAGAAAATACAAGACTGAAAGGAAGAAAGAAAGAAGGAAGGAAGGAAGAAAGAAAGAAAGAAAGAAAGACAAGAAAGCTCAATCTCCTGACTTTGATAGAATAGGATATCAAATGTTCTTCCCCACCTCAATTTCAAAGGTCATACTGTCAGGAGGCCTTTCTCCAATTTTTATTTTTTCTGGGTTCTCAATTTCCGCTATTTGTCATACCTCCTTCAATAGTTTTCCTTTCTCCTTCTGCAATTTGAACCCAAAGGTCATCACAGCCTCTTTTTCCTTTACTGTAATGATGAATATACACCAGTATAATACCAGTGATGTAGCAGCTTCTCCGTAAAGGTTGGGGTACAGAAGGGAACTCCAGCACAACATGACAAAAACGTAACATTTATCTGGGGATGTAATGTACAACATGGTGACTATAGTTAGCAATATGGCATTATGCACCTAAAAGATGCCAAGAGAATAGATATTAAATGTTCTCACCCCCGACTCCCCCAAAAGGGTAATTATGGGAAATGATGCAGTCAACTAACCCTTTCACTGTAATCATTTTGCAATATATAAGTGTATCAAATCATCACATTGTATATCTTAATCTTATACAATGTTATAGGTCACTTACATCTCAAGAAAATTGAAAACATTTCAACAGTTTTAACATTTAATATTAATTATTTTCATAGTTAGAGCCCTTTGGTTCTCCTTACACTTGTTTTGAGAAATTATTGCTAGTTTTGAGAAATGTCTCTGCCACCAGACAGATTCTTGTACTGTTTTCTTGTCTTTATATCTATGGCAAGTCTCCAACACTATTCCCCCAGATGTCTAATCTTGCCAGTTCTGTACCCTTTCCTCCCTTTGGTAGCAACATTCTCAGACTCTCTTCCTTTCTCCCATTAGAACTTACTCCAAACAAAGCGCAGAACTATTTTATTATACTAAGGAGACTATTACTGATAACAACTCTAACCTATTAGGCAGCAGGTAATTGGATAATGGATCCTCATTAGGGCAGAATATGTGTGTGTGTGTGTGTGTGTGTGTGTGTGTGTGTGTGTGTGTGTGTTGGGGGGACAGGTGATTACATCTTACCTTCTAACAAGGATTCCCACCTGACATTGAAGAATAAGGTGCAAATATTTGCATTTGGAGCACCTGCAAAAGGATTCAGGAGACGCTGGGATTTCTTCAGATCAAAGAAGTACATTTCCCCTCTCTTCCATGTTAGTATTTATGATATAGGAATGTACCTTCTAATTGATATAGCCATTGGGGCACCTGGCGAGCTTAGTCAGTTAAGCGTCCAACTCTTGACTTTGGCTCAGGTCATGATCCCAGGGACCTGGGATAAAGCCCCTCATCAGGCTCCCCATTCAGCAGGTGGTCTGGTTATCTCTCTCTCCCTCTGCCCCTTCCCCTGTTCTCTCTCTCTCTCATCAATCAATCAATCTTGGAAAAGATAATTGATATAGCCATCAAATGTGCTGGTTCTGTTGTTTTCCCTGTAAAGTTACGAATAAGTTGATTCTATGTCTTGTAATCCTCATGAATCTTGCATAGAGTGGGTTTCACTAGAAAGAAGGAAAAAGTTGAAGATATTGAATGCTACAAAAGGAACAAAAAATTTTTTAATGGAAAATAACTGAGAACTAAATTAAGAAATTGATGCAGTGCCTTATAGTCATCAAAATAATGAAAGCAAGGAATATTTTATTATGAGAGGTATGAAGTTTCCTTCACATACCAAACCATTAGCCACTCTGCTTCCCCACAATTTTGAAATCTAAGAGGAATGGAAGTTATGTAGATAATACTTTTTCTTGACAGTGGTTCATTAAAACCAGCAGTACTCATGGACTGATCAGCAGCAAGCTTCTGGTATTTAACCCTGGAACCTCATAGATATAATGATAATGTTTTGAACAAATAATGACCTGACCAGAACAAGTTGTTCACATGCCTTGTGGATTGAATATTAACATTTAGTTGGTGTTAATGTTAAAGTATAAGGTAGTCAAGTCTCTGAAAGTCAGAGATCTGATTTCCTGTTAAGACCGTTACAAACAAAACCCCATTATATAATTAGAATACCACATGACAAAAATAATTGAAAGCTTAGGTTAAAATAAAAATATTAAAGGCCTAGTTTCCTATTAACACAGATCATACTAAGTCTGCAAATTTAGAGGAGAAATTTTAACAACAGGACACAGCCCCTGGCAGAGTCTTTAGTTATTTAGTCTATAGTTATTCATAACTAGAAGTATATTTTGGCCATCAGAGCTTCCTGTGGCCTAATTCAAATCCATGGACCAAAGTAGGGTGTGAAGACAGTATCCAGAGGAAACAAATAATCAAAGATATGTTCAGTTAACCAGATGTCAAAAGGAAAATTAGAATTTCCTTTGATAAAAATGTTCCTGGTTTTGGAAATATTGAATAATTTATATTTTCTTCTTTAGCTTTGTTGATTATTTCCATATTTTCTTTTTTTTTAAGATTTTTTATTTATTTATTTGAGAGAGAGAGAGAGAGCACAGGATGGGGTGCAGAGGCAGAGGGAGAAGCAGACTCCTCGCTCAGTAGGGAGCCCGATGCAGGGCTCAATTCCATCCTAGGACCCTGAAATCATGACCTGAGCTGAAGGCAGACTTTTAATCAACTGAGCCACTTGGGCACCCAATTTCCTTATTTTCTACAATGGCTACTATTTCTTGATCACTATGGACCAAGTCTTGAGCCTCTATCTTCCAGAGGCTGGTCATGTACAACAGCTGACTGACTCATACGGACACACATATAGGTCCTTTAAAATACTTGAGGATACTCTCAGAGGTCAAATTGAGCACCATGGGATGCTGATTCCCACAGGATCTGGGGTACAGAGAGCAGGTATGAGTCAGGGAAGGCTCCACAGAGCAAAAGAGACAGGAACTAGATCTTGTGGAATAATCAGGTTTTGTAGAGCTAGGTCTCAGGGAAGACCAAGAAAGAGAAGTATGAGCAATAGAGAACAATTGAGAAATTGTCCCCCAAAGGCTCAGTGTGGTACTTCAGGACAATGGACAGTCTAACAAAAGCAGAAACAGGAATCTGTAACTGGATTTTCACCTTTCTTTTCTCGTTTGTCCTAGTACTCACTCTGACTTAGCCTCTGAGTGCAAGTGTTATGAATGTCGAAACAAAGGAAAGACAGAGAGTTAAAACAGAGGACTACAAATGGTTTATTAATTATTGGTGAATCCATTTCCTGAGTCGAGAGAGAATCAACTATTATGTTCAGAAGTGCTCTGCTCTAAACACCAGTAACAGCCAATGAGGTAGATATTAGTAACTGTCATTTTATAGATCAGGGAAAAAGAGGGTAGAAAGTTAGAAACACTTAAAAACTTTAATAACCTGTTAAGGTCTTATTACCTCCATGTTCCAGCTGAAGCTCAGAAAGGTTAAATGATTTGCCAACAATTCCACAGCTTGCTTACAACTGAGCCAACTTGAGCAAAGGTTTCCTTTGCTCCTTTCCTTCCACAACCACAGCCTCAGAAAATTACAGGTATCCCCCCCGCACCTTACTCAGGAGAAGACACCCCTGAGGGTGATGTTGCATATTGCAGATTGCATTTCACTAATTAAAAATGCTGAGATGGTCAACTTGAATCACTTCCATTTTTTCCCCCAGTAATGTTTAACCTTAAATCAAAAAAAAAAAAAAAAATCTAGAAGATAAAAGAGCATGTTATCTGGAAGTCCATTCCACCCCCATGGTTATTAATTTCAGAACACATCTGAATTCCTTCTCTGGGGAACAGACAGCTCCTGGCCGGGTCAGATTTCAGGTTCTCATCTGTTTCTACCAATGCCACTACCAGAATCTTCTTTGTAGTCAACCTCTGAAGTCTTCCCTGAGTACAACTTGGTGTCTGAAGATCCAGTCAAGTGTCTGTGGTCATCAGTCTCTTCACAAAATCACAGTCTCCTCTCTTGGCAAATCAATAACTGCCCTTAGCTTTGCTTTTGGAAACAACTTCTCCCCGGGATCTTACTTCCCAGCATGGAGACAAAGAGCTTCGCAGTTTGGGATTATGTTGTATTTGCAGCCCTCTTTGTCATTTCCTCTGGAATTGGGGTGTTCTTTGCTATTAAGGAGAGGAAAAAGGCAACTTCAAGGGAGTTCCTTGTTGGGGGAAGGCAAATGAGCTTTGGTCCTGTAGCGTTGTCCCTAACAGCCAGCTTCATGTCAGCTGTCACTGTCCTGGGGGCTCCCTCTGAGGTGTACCGCTTTGGGGCATCTTTTGTACTCTTCTTTATTGCATATGCATTTGTCATCATCCTCACGTCAGAGCTCTATCTCCCCGTGTTCTACAGATCTGGCATCACCAGCACTTACGAGGTAAGACAACTCTTCTCTTCTTCTTCATTTTGGAAAGAGTTGCTATTTTCTCTACACTTGGACATCCCCCCCCCCCATAATAGTATACATTGTCTTAATAACACGTGGTAGTTGAAGAATGCATTTATTTTCAGGATGATTATGCATCATGGTAAAAACACATTTCGTTCTTATTGGAAAAGCTTATCTTTGCACACGCAGAACTGTTTTTCCACCTGTAGAATGAAAATATGGAGCCAATCCCACAAGGCTATCTCACCGATTAAATGAGAACCTATCTACAAACACCTAATGCATTGTCTGACTTGCAGGAGAGTCTCAATGAAAGAGAGCTGAAGTTATTATTTGTATTATGCGTGTCAGTCTTCTGAAAAGCATGCAGAACATACACTGTAAATATCATCATGTTCCAGATAAGAAAACTGAAATTGACATAAATGGCTTCATCAAGATTGTATACTAGATAAGGTCTAATGAGAACCCATTTCATCTTTATCCCTTTCCGTCACATAGTAGAGCTGAGTATTTTAATATAGGTTATTTCTATCAGTGGAGAAATGGTAAAGTTTTTAAGAGATTAAAGTTTTAATGGGGGGAGGAGTTGCTAAATGATACAAATATGGGGATTATATTGAGGAAAACAAAATGAGGCAGTGGTCTTTTGATTTTGCAATAATTCTCAAGAAAAATAACATGTTAAAAATTGAGTTCGCATGTCCAGTGTTTAAGCATGATCATATATCAGTTTCTATGAGAAATGTTTGTATTTTCCTAATTCAACACCATCCCTACCAAGTCACAGCAGAGGACTCTTAACATACCTCTTTTTTTTTTTTTTTAATTCTGTTAACTAAATGATTATAAAGGATTACTCTGGACCTTAAAAACCACTTTGGCAAATGAATACTTTACAGCAGGTTTTAAAACTTGTGATTCTGCAGGTAATCATAATCAAACATCCAACCTCAAACTCCTCTCCCCACCAAAAGTAGGCAATCGGAATTAGGTCATGCAACAGCTACTCTCTGGGATGTAGTTCAAGAGGAAACGAGTCAATTTATGATTAGTCCTAAAATATATATATGCACATATCCTTGAGGCTCATTAGTGTACTTCTGAAAACATAAATATATCCCAGGTTTTTCCATTCAGCTAATAAGGTGTGACTCCCACAGACTTTGCAAACTTTTTTAAAATTTAATTTAATTTTATTTTATTTTCAGTGTTCCAAAATTCATTGTTTATGCACCACACCCAGTGCTCCATGCAATACGTGCCCTCTTTAATACCCACCACCACTGCTAACATTTTAAGAAAGAATTGCCTCAGTGACTGCTAGAGAGGGGAGACAGAGAGAGAAGGAGAGGAGACAGAAAATGGGAGTTTGATTTCAAAGCCCATTGCTTAATAATAGGTTGTCTTTGTGCAAGTTACCTAATGTTTATCAGCTCTGGTTTCCACGCAGAAAATAATCCCTCCCTTCTTTCATAAAGAGTTAGTTAAGTATGAAAAAGCTTTTTAAATTACTAAAAAAAAAAACAAAAAAAAAACCCACCTAAATGTGGAAAATCATCTTTACAACTAACTAATTCAATATCCCATTTAATACTCATTAAACACTACTATGTTCCGGGCACACTCCAGGCCCTGGAGATGAAGCATTGAACAAAACCTCTGCTCTCACAGAGCTTACTTGATAGCAGTAATGATCAATAAACACACTATATAAGACAGTCATAATAGAAAAGTGTTTGCTATTTGTGTGCTGAGCACCTCTCTAGCTCTTTTACATGATCAAATCATTTGGCCTTCAAATAACCTTTTTCGATAGATTCTGTTATTATCATTCGCATTTAACAGACGAGAAGCATGAGGCACATAGAGTTCGGTAACTTGCTAGCAAGTGGCCGTGTTTCAAACATGGACCATCTAATTTTAGAGATGGCATGCTGAATCACAGTGCTATCCTGCCCTACTAAGTACAGTAGGGAATAAGTAAATAGGATAATGTAGAATGCAGGAGCTCTGCTTTGGGCGGAGAATGTCAACAATTCATATGGGGTGGTTAAGTGAGACTTCAGTGAGAATTGAATTGACATTGAATTGGGGACCCAGAGAAAGCAAGCAATTGCACCATGGGAGGGAAGACCATCCCAAGCTAAAGTAATCACAGATGCAAAGGCCCTAAAAGGGGAGAGTGATTAGCATGTGTGAAGGACAGCAAAGAAATCATTATGCTTGGAGAAGAGTGAGCCAAGGGGAGAAAGGGGAGAGTTGAGATCAAAGAGGTGGGGGAGGGAGGACAAAAACAAAAAGAGGTCGGGGAGCCTCACTCCATGGAGTAGCAGTTCTTGTATATATGGGGGTCAGACACAGGGGGCCTTGAATATTCATGAGGTAATTTGGTTGTCACAATGAGTGGGGGACACTACTGGAGTTTAAGGGGCATGAGCAGGGGCACCAGGTGTCTTACAGTATATAAGACGTATATATATATGATGGATAATTGTACCACCATATGCTTAGTGATTTTTAAATGCCCTCATGTTCAAAACCTACAGCAAATAGAAATTAGTAGTACTTTGCTACATAATAATGTTTACTTTTTTAAAAAGATTTTATTTATCTGACACAGAGAGAGAGACCACAAGTAGGCAGAGAGGCAAGCAGAGTCGGGGAAGGGGGGAGCAGACTCCCTGCTGAGCAGAGAGCCCGATGTGGGGCTGGATCCCAGGACCCTGAGATCATGACCTGAGCTGAAGGCAGAGGCTTAACCCACTGAGCCACCCAGGCGCCCAATAATGTTAACTTTTTAAAAAAGAAGCTGTACACACGCACTATAAATTAGTCTATTTCCCCCAAATTAAAATGGAATAAAAACATTGTCTTGAGGTTACTGAAACTTTAGTCACTGAGCAATCTCTTCCAGATGTGTTACTCAATACCCAGGTCATTGTAACTGGTTTTAGTAAAGTGGTTCAGTTACTGCATCCAACCCATTGCAAATATGTAGCTGAGGAGATGTGAGATTGCCTTTTAACTATTAAGTTAATACAGTTATAAGAAATGTTAGGGTTTCATTGAATTTAATTTTTAAATTTTGTTGCCCTCTACATATTTTTAATTTTTAGTACCCTAATGGTAAGAACTTCAGATCGTGTAAAGTACATAAGGGGAGATTTGGGGACTGCCTTTTGCTTTATGAGAATTGGCAAATGGCACAAGGATTAAAAGCATGGCCTCTTGAGTATCTGGCTTGCTATGCTAGCACTGCCACCCACCAGTGGCATGACTGGGAAAATTGCTTAACTTCACCATGCCTGATTTGCACATATGTGGAGTAGTGATAATAAAAGCACCTCTCTCCCCAGATGTCTGTGAAGAGTAATTGGGGTGTTACGTGCAAATACTTTTAACCGAATCTGACAAATGGTAAATGCCACATAAGGGTTTTGTATTTTTCTTTATTATTATTGTTGTTCCTGTGGTTACGGTCCCCAAGTTTATACCACTCGAGCTCTTTATAGAAGCTTGAATGTATTGTTTCTTTTTTCATTCTCCATTCCCTGTTACCCATTCACAGATATCCTTTCCAGAGTCTTTTGAAGTACCAAGGACTGGAAGAGGTTGTGTCTATTTCTCTAGTCCTTGAATCTGGGATGACCTTGTGACAGAATGTGGCAGAAGGGATTTGTAAATTTGGAGCCTAGGCCTCATGAGGTATATAGGTATATATTCCATAGGCCTTTGCCCTATGGAATGCTGTCCTGGTACTGCTGTGTCAGGAAGCTGGGCTACCGGGTCCATCTTCTGGAGGAGGAGCGGACACACAGAGGAGAAGAGAGGCACCCCAGCCAACAGCCAACTCAACCAGCAGATGGGTGAATGAGGCCACGTGGACCTTCTCACCCTGCTGACCTTCCAGCAGATCGCAGTCTCATGAGAGCCCTGAGGAAACAAGTCGAGAACTAACCCAGCCAATCTGCAAAATTATGAAATATATAAAATTCTTTTTTACATTTTTTTATTGTTAATATATTTTTATTTAAAAGATTGTATTTATTTATTTTTGAATTTTATTTTATTTTATTTTATTGTTTAAATTAAGGTATAGTTGATTAAGTCCTTTGTTTTTAAGCCAGTGAGTTTTGGGATAAGTATTTTACAGTAATAGCCAAATGATTAAAATGCTTTGATATATAGTGGGATTTCAACACCAAGCTGTGCCATCCGTGTGATTTTATCACTAGTTGGCCCCATGTCAAAGCATGAAGGATTGTTCTCACCGTCACGTCATAGATTAGGCTCAGCTCATTTGCAGTGTCATACAGTTTCATGATCTCCACTTGGATGGCTTGTCATTAGTTATTGCCTTCTTTCTCTGAGCACACGCTAATAAATCTAGTCTGTTTTTATTCACCCATAGCACTCATTTATAGACTAGTGTCTGCCTGCCTTCTCATTTTTCTTGGACTTCTTAAACTAAACGTCTTCTGAATTACTTACATCTCTTTAATCCAACCTTTTACATTGCAATAATGCACAGGCTACTACATTTTTAAGTATCATCTTTTATCATGGTTTCTAAGCTTTATAGATGACATACTGTGGAAGGTTAGTTTCTTTCCTTTTAATTCTCCTTTAAATTACATTTATGGTGTTGTAGTAATTATATTCAAGCTTTCAAAAATTAGATGTGTATAAGATGTCACTATTGAATGTTATTTCAGCATAGTAAATGATGCTACAAAATGTTTTACTCCAAGATGGGTATTCAGGGTCTGAGAGGGTTTGAACCAATGTTATGAAGCCTTTGAGGTCATGGCAAAGGATTGTTGTGTACTCTCTGTGAGATGGGTCATGACAGCGTTTGGGCAGAGGAGTGACATGACGTGATTTGGATCTGGAGTGTTGCTCTAGCTGGATGTTGGCAGTGAGTCTGGGGATTTCTGCTCTAGCAGGGGGTCTAGTTAGGAGGCTCTTGCTGTAGTTCAGGCAAGAGCTGATGGTGTTGCAGGGGCAACAGAAGAAATAATGTAAGTGGCTTATTTTTGAAAGTGGGCACCAGGATTCTTGTATGAAGTAGATGTGGGGAGTGAGAGAAAGAGAGGAATAAAGAAGGGATCCGTTTATTTGGGTTTGAACCAATATGAGAAGTCAGAACCATTTAATTATTCACTAAGATGGAAAAGAATGTGGCTCTATCCAGGTCTGCAGTTTTGAAAATAATCAAATACAAAGATGGGGAGCATTACCTGTGCAATTTTTCAAAAGCAGGTATGAAGCATGCGACTCTTCAGCTGGACTTCCATTTTTACTTTCGACTGTAGCGATAGATAAATACACATCAAAAAGGACCATTGAATGAGGGAGGGAGTAATTGAAAGGCTGGGTAAACATGTTCTTTCAGACGGATTATAATGCCGTTGAAATTATCTCTCATTTCATGGATGAGAAACCAAAGGCTTAGGTCACAGTAAGATAGTGGCAAAGCTCAAACTAGAATTCAGGGAGTCTTACTTCTGAGCCACTTCTTCTTCTCCTTCCTCTTCTTCTTCTTCTTCTTCTTCTTCTTCTTCTTCTTCTTCTTCTTTTTTCCAACATACCTTTTTCTCCTTACTAACTTCCCAGTTGGACTGAATTGGCTGAATTTAGTGGAACTAAATGGCAATGTTAAAACCCTTACTTAACTGTGTGCAGATTCCAATAGCAGTCCCCTTAATGTCTTTCCATTTTTCAGGAATAATTTCCCCCTTGCTTTCCCAAACTTCAGGTGCCTCCCAGCCCCAAAGCCAATACTGAATTATTTTGGGGATTGGTTACAACATTTCTCCACTCTTGGTACCAAGTTTTATATCACTTATATACTGCTATGTAACATATCACCCCAAAATAAATGTCTTAGAACAACAATTTTATTTGCTTACAGTTCTGTGGGTCTGCAGTTTGGTCTGGGCTCACTAGGAGTCCAGTAAAACAGTGAGGTTCTTCTCTTGATCTCACTGAGACTTTGCATAGGACTGCCATCAACTAAGGTGTTAGCTAGTGGCTCATAGGTCCAAGGGAACTGAGATGAGACAGCCTGTCTCTATCACACGTGGTTGCATACTCCAGCAGGCTATCTTGAGTTCTCTTATGTCACGGGGAACAAAAAGTCCCCATCAGCAGGACACACCCTTTTACATAAGCATTTTTAAAGTCACCAATTGCATTCTATTTGGTTTATGTTCCCCCTAAAGGAAACCCTGAATGCAAGTCATTTTGCAGGAAGCAATTTCATTTAACATTGGTAGGCAAATGACAGTTAAAATAAATATGGAAGGAAATGAAGCCAATAAAATGTGTGTTTTGGAGCAGGTTGCTACTGTGAGCAATTGAGGTTCAATCTTACTGGGGACTTCAGGAAGACATACAGATCATGTCCCAGGGGGTCTTTCCCGACCAGCAAAGAAGCCAGAATATTTTTTTGTGTAACTCTCTGAATTTCAGCCAAAGATAACACCCCCAGGCATTTCTAGCCTGCCTTGCCAGGGCTGAAACAAAGTCCTTGAGCAGAGGCTCACAGGTGCATTTAAAAGCCATCAGCGTGTATTGGAATCGTGAGTGCCAGTAAGCTGGCATTGCACTCATGGTGACTACTGTGGTCACTAACATCCCACTACATTCTTGTGCTTGTACTTCGCATTATCATTGACTTTGACACTTGAGCCTTAGAAGCACCAATTTTAGAAAAGAAAGCCATCCCTGACCGCAGTAAATGGATCTTTCCAAAGGTGTCTGATTTGAACCTAAGTTTTCAACACCACAAAAGTTTTGCATCATTTTCCATCCTGTGACATCTGAGACTTGTCTCCTTGCTGACCTCCTTACCTCTTTACGAATGTTTTCCTTATATCTGGTGCCCTCAGTCACCCTCTCGCTGGACTAGCTCCAGACTCAGTGTACTGAATCCATCGTCTGAGGAAAGAGGGTCTACAAATAAGATGGTTATTTTCTCAGGGTAGGGGTGGAGCAGGGTAAGAAAAGAAAAGTCTGAGAAGTGCAAAGCATGTGGATTGAAAAGCACACAGTGACTTTATGTGGAGAATAAATAATCGGAGGGACAGTGGTGTGACTTAAGATAGGAAGGTGCAGATCAGACAGTAGAAAGTACCAAGTGTGGGACGTACACTTTGTTTTCAATGATAGACAGTCATTGAAGATCTTAAGAAAAAAAGCAACATGATTAGAGCCTTGGTCTAGGAGAAACATCCATTGATGGAATGGATGGGCGAGGATTGGAATTAGGGACCAGCTGATCCCTCTAATTCCAATAAGAATTATTCCCTAGGCTGCTGCAGTCACCTAGGGAAGAGGGAATACGGGTCTGGGCGAATTCTGGGGGAATGGGATAGAAAAGGCAACAGTGGCTTCCGTGTAGTCCGTAGGAAGACCCCTGAGTAGAAAGTCAGAGGATCTGGATTTTTATTCAAACCATAAAAATTTAAAAATAAAAAGCATTTATCTTCTCTATCATGAGAAGCTTAAGCAAAAATTGATCTTTAATAGAGCTCTGCCATTTCTTGGACTTCGAACAATCTGTATTTTTCTGGTTCTCTTGAGTATATATGGCATAAATCACATTATGCATCCAAAGCACTAAACATAAAAGAATACAAGAAAAAAGAACCTTCTTAGCAGCTCTTATGTAAATAATTTACTGACTCTTTGCTTGTCCTTCTCTCTGTTCTTCCTAGTACTTACAACTGCGATTCAATAAACCAGTACGCTTCGCGGCCACTGTCATCTACATTGTGCAGACGGTAAGGGGGAAGGTCTGCTACCGATGTGGAAAGTGTGGGGTGACAAGATATGGGTTTATTTACTCCAGGGGGGGCAATGAATGCAACTAAAGGACAAACCTAGCACTAAGAAGAAACTACTTTCTTCCGAGGATAGCACTTTCGAGATATGTGATTACAGTGAAAGTTATCCACATTGCACAGACCCTGCGTATTCATCCAAATAATAAATAAAAAACAAATGTATATCATAAACCACAAAGGAAAAAATAGCATTAAAAACTTTTATTTCTCTTGTACAAGTTACTTTGGCTATGAAATGGTCCAGTAATTAGTTTTTCACCAGTTAACTGCGTTGAACCAGAAATGCTCGTCTTGCTGAAAATCATTTTAAGACAATACTCCCATTCTCCCCTTCTGGACTCCTCTTCTGCTTCCTAGGCTCTTGGTGCCTTCATGCTGTCCCACAGGGTTGGTATGCTTCCTACAACTCATGAAGTACTCTCTGCTGGAAAATGACCTTCTTCCCTTTCTTAAAACTCCCACTCACTGACTGAGGGATTTAAGAGAGAGAAAAGGAGGAGAGCAGTGCTCCCTGAGCAGCTCCTATAATTTTGCCTCCTAAAACCCTCACGTGACCTCTAAATGATGAATTCCCATTTAAAATAAAAATGGGACTGCACCTACTTCCTTCAGCATAGTGGCTGCAACCCTGGGAGTCCCAAGATGTACGCAGGAATTAGATCACCCATGTCAGTCTTCACTGTGCTGTACTCTCTCCACTCTAAAATCTCTGTTTCGGCAGCGTGCTGAAATGAGGGTGGGTCATTGTGACGCAGGCATGGGGGCAGGGGTGGGTAGAGAAAGGCTGAACCAAAGCCCTTACCTTGACTTGAACCGTATCTTTGTTTCCTTCAGAAATGCATCAGATCTAGCCATCAAGTCTCAAAATTCACAGCAGTCTTAAAAGTCCAATGCTCTTCCCCCATAAAATGCTGATGATCCCCTTTGCACACTAATGACAGTAGTCAATGATTTCAAGATTAGAGTGGTTGCCAATGACAGGTTTAAGGACCACGATAAGGGAAATTCCTCTCTGAGGTCAATAAGGAAGCTTTGAGGCAGCTTTCCATTCCATGTCCCTTTTCACACTGTTCACCTCACTCTTGCTTCCCCACCAGATTCTCTACACAGGAGTGGTGGTGTATGCACCTGCACTGGCGCTCAATCAAGGTGAGTTACTGATACTCCCCTGTATACTTTCCATCTTTTGTATGCTTACATTCTCACCTTGAGAAATATACCTCCGTCCTGCTGGGGAGACATTCCCATGGTTAGGGGGCTCTGGTTACTGTAGTCATTACAATAGAGAGCTCCAAAAATCAAACATTGAAAATAGCACTGGGTGTTATATGTAACTGATTAATCACTAAATTCTACTCCTGAAACTAATAATATGTTATAGGTTAACTAACTTGAATTTAAATAAAATCTAAAAAAAGAAGAGAGAGAAAAAAAGGCAAATAATTAGTTACTTGATTTGCCCACAAGTTTTCAAACACCCAGTGTGATTGTCATTTGTTTGTTTGTTTGTTCTGTTTTTTAATCACTGAAGTGACGGCAGCTTGGTATTGCATACACACAACCACTAAAGACGTTTATAATGTATGATCCCGTCTCAGGGATTTTATGAAGTCAATAATCTAAGCACAAGAGTAAAAGGTACTCATAGTAATTTTTTTAAAACTTATGCTTGACGGGGCGCCTGGGTGGCTCAGTGGGTTAAGCCGCTGCCTTCGGCTCAGGTCATGGTCTCGGGGTCCTGGGATCGAGTCCCGCATCGGGCTCTCTGCTCGGCCAAGAGCCTGCTTCTCTCTCTCTCTCTCTCTCTCTCTCTCTGTCTGCCTCTCTGCCTACTTGTGATCTCTGTCAAATAAATAAATAAAATATTAAAAAACAAAACAAAACAAAACAAAACTTATGCTTGACCTTTTTTTGAGGGAATAGAATCCTAGAAACAAGAATTTTAAAAAGATTAAAATAAACTTCATAATAATACCTATAATATTAGAAGTCTTCAATATTCAACTTAATCATGTTGTGTGCTTTATCGAGACATATTTATTCATGGCTGATGTTTAGGTGGTTTCAAAGTCCTCAGACTAACTTTGTTAAGAAAAAGCAAACAAACAGTTGGTGCAAAGACCAGAAGCTACAGAGTTTTAGGAGGAAAGGTTTGGCTTTTAACATTACCTAAAAATTATAGACTGAGTTAAGTATAACACTGTAATAAAATAATTTTTAACAGAGGTGAATATAATAAGGGAAAATTCTAATTTGATTTCCGTTGACCCCACTGACAAAAATATTGTGACTTCTTTCTCATAAACCTTGCTCTTCTACTTTTCTCAGAGAAACTTCTTTTAATGTTTTTTCTTCTTTTCTAGTGACTGGGTTTGATCTCTGGGGCTCTGTGTTTGCAACAGGAATTGTTTGCACATTCTACTGTACCCTGGTATGTATCCAGCTGTGAAGAAGTATTTAACACCATCTCCCTAATATGGGATAAGGGCAAATCTCTGGCAACCAGGGCATCTAATTATAACAGAAATTGCTATTCCAAAATTAAATAGAAATTTGCTAGCTTCTCTGTCACAGTTTCCTGAGGAAGGCGCTGTTCTTTTATTTAAAATTCTTTCACTGCCATTAGCAGAATTGGGTTCTGGTCTCCTTTGAGAAAGCCATGGCAAAGAAAAGATTTCATGAAAGAAATCCCTCCTTGCTCAGAGGATAAGGGACCATATGCGACTGCCAAGAAAACAATGTTCTTGTTAACGGTAATTATGAACCATAAGTAGCATACACTTATAGCTGTCTAGTGATTGAGAAATGCACGATGCATGTATGAATGATAAAGGATGGCTGGTATTTTATAAACTTGAGGATTCCACAGCTTGTTGTTGTTTCTTATTTATGCATAAGCTTGGATTACAGTAACATTTGGTTTAACATATGCTCAGTTTTTCATCAAGGAATCTGAGTGCCATTGGCAACATATTTATATAATTGTTAATATCAGTTTAGTTCAGCAAACATTCATTGAGCATATATTATTTATCATGCTTTGCAATGGGAAGCTTTATTCTTCTGAATCATTGGCACCCATATACAGAGGCTGTAAATAACCAGTTAAAAATATAACACTGGTTTTCAGAAAGCTGAGTTATCTTTCCTCCTCTATAGAGAATAACAAAGTAATCCTATATTATCATAGAGCAGACCATCTAGATATTTTGGCATTGTGTGCATATCAGAGACTCTTTGAACTAAATCATGAAATATACAACTTAAAAATGTCCTTATCTCTCTTTTTCGTACACGCAATTCCCACCATCTCTTTTGCACTACAGAATGTTTTCTATTTTTTTTTTCCTCCGTTCCATTCTCACTACCATAGCTTTATTCCAGACACACATCTCTTACGTAGGTTAAAAATAAGCTCCTGCTCCTTATATGTCTGGCCATATCTGACAGGATGACTAGACACATTGCCAGGGACATTGCCAGGCTTCTTAGCAACAATAACGGAAGGCAGAAACAATGAAATAATATCTTCAAAGCATTGATGGAAAACAATTGTCAACCTAAAATTGTGTTTTCAGCAATACTAACTTTTAGGAATGGTCAAGAACCAAGAGAATTTACCACTAATCTATTTTTTTCTGAGAAAAATCCAGAGGAGTACTGTGGGAAGAAGGAAAATGATCCTGTTTTGGATAGAAGAAATAATGATAAGAAAATAAGAATAGTGAACATTTAGTAAGTCTAGTCAAACAATTTTTGGTGCTTGATGATTAAAAAATAATTTTAGGGGTACCTGGGTGGCTCAGTGGGTACCTAAATAACTTTAGGGGTACCTCAGTGGCTCAAACAATTTTTGGTGCTTAATGATTAAAAAATAATTTTAGGGGTACCTGGGTGGCTCAGTGGGTACCTAAATAACTTTAGGGG